TTTACTCTCCTTAATTACTTCTTTTCTCTACATTTTCTTGATTATCAGTAACTCGAGTTCTTCTAAATTCTAGCTTTTACTGAAATTCCATATTTTGGTTAAACACTTCTGATGCATTTGTTAGTTGCTGAGAAATGAGGAATGTGACTCGGGTTTGGGAACTAGAATCTCATGGAAGGTTTTTGTTTTTATTTTCAAGATCACGTGATTTGCACATGGGATCAGATGTTAGAGTTAAAAGTTATTTTTGAAAATTTTGTTAGCTTTAGTGTTGGCCCAAGTTCAGATGAAGTTTTGAAGATTGACAAAATGAACTTAGTCATGAACCAGGTCCATCATGTGAGACAGACACAGTGTTGATATACTTATACACGTGACATACGTGTGAAGATAAGTCTCAAGGGTCAGCAACAATATCTTCTGAGTTGATCGAAAAGGTTGCATAGAATAAGGAGTTGAAGTCTCCTTATGTGAAGAGAACTATATCCGGATAAAGAATAAGGATTGGAGTTTGAATTGTTCTAGGACTCGAATTTGATGAAGGATCAGCAATTCGAGTTTTAATCAAACTCTGATTACTAACTCTATAAATAATAATGATTGTTCTCTTTTACAGGTAGCATACAAACGCAGAAGTGAAACTAAATTGAAGAGCAAAATAGCAAGGCTTTTTGCAAGCAATTTACGTGAGATTCAAGTGTGCAAACCTGAAGCTACTTGGACAAGATAGAAGAACCAATTCCATCGTGTCTTTCTTTTATTCTAGTTCAATTGTAGTAGGTGTTTTAAAATTGTACCTTTCAGGTTTTATAGAAGCAATTGTATTAGGTACTTTGAGTATTCAAGTTAGAGTTAACTTGAAAGTATCGCAGCAGTTGAGGCTGTGTGCCACACTGGGATTAGAGTTTAATCCTTAGGTTTACAAGAGTTTTGTAAATGCTGTTTTGGCTCAGTGATTTTAGTGGAAGTTTGGGAAAATCCTACTGAGTAGTAGGTCGTGGTTTTGTCACCTTTTGAGCCAGGTGTTTTCCACGTAAAAATCTCTGTGTTCTTTATTTTATGCACTCTTAATTCCGCAAACAGTCTTAGTAAGTACATCTAGAAGAACCAGGTTCTTCTAGTGCGAAAATTAGGTACCACACAAATCACCCCCCCCCCCCCCTCCTTGTGTGTTATTGACGTCTAAGAACATCATTTAGGGTTGAAGACCAAAAATGTTCACGTTTTCTAAACATTAAGGGGTCGTTTGGTAAGGTGTATAAGAATAGTGCGGAATAAGGTGTATTTGTAATGCATGGATTAGTAATGCATGTGTTAGTAATGCAAGCATTAGTTATGGAGATATTATTTCTTATCTACTGTTTGGTGTGGTGTATCAAAATTATAATGCATTGCATAATTTTTAAGAAAAATAGTTGTTTACAAAAATGCCCTCCATATTCTCTAGCTTTAAGGGACTTTAAGGACAATTTTATCTTTAACCATACTAATGCATGCATCAATAGCCTTGGTATTACTAATGCCATGATTTTCTATGCATTACTTATACATAGGATAATACCAAGTATGATGTATAACTAATACAAGTATTAGTTATACATATGTTGAAAATATATACCAAACAAGGTATTAGTAATGCATAGGTCTAATGCTTGCATTATTTTTTTAATACCTCCTACCAAACGACCCCTAAGGACTATACCTGTTTAGGGGTATATATCAAGGACTAAGATAAACCAACCCCAATACATTACGGACTATTTTGATCATTTCCTCTACAAAGCAGCGTCAGTATTACTCAAAATTTGAAGTATATGATACATCATTGATCAATTTTATTTTGATTTAGTGATGCCTAAAATATAATTATCAAGAACTACTTTATGACTTTTCAATTGCCATTGAAGCAACGCTAGAAGTTAAGAACGTAAATTTTTACTAAATTTAAAAACAGAAGAAGGAGACAATTGTATTTTTAATTTTATAAACCTATATTTTCATAACTTGCTTAATTTTTTTACTTAAAAATAATTTTTTATTCAAGAACTACGTTTGTTATAGAATGACTATATTCCTAACATAAAAGATAGCAAAAGCTCATACGTGTAGCCCAACTTTGACAACTTTTAAGGGAGAAATTTAAAAGAGATTTTTTCCTTTCTATACCATATATGAAACTTTATTATCAAATATGTGCATAGTATCTAAATTACCCGCCTAGTCCATATTTTTCCTACTATTCCTGTACCATTCGTTTATTAGGAATTAATAGGGCAGAATCTTCCCTTAATAACGCGCGAAAAATCAGGAAAAAATCTTGGGATTGATTTATTCTACATTAAATTCAAGTTTTGAAACGGAAAGGAGATTTCGCATCTGCGTAATTTACTCTTAAACTACAATTCAAAAATTAAAAAAAAAAAAGTACGAACAGCTTCAACAAACTACGAACAACTTCAACAAACTGAATTCAAATTGTAGAATTCAAATCTTCGAGATTCAACAACTCAAAATTGCTATATTCTGTTCTTCGTCGTTTTCAGAAATCAAATTGGCGATCATATATCTGTTCTTCATCTTTTTTTCTCTCAATCTAGAAATCCAAAAAAACGAAAAAATTTAGATTAATACATCAGCAACATCACGCAATCATGTCCAAAATCGCAATCATGCTACAATTGAATGGGAATTGGGATAACTATGGCAGATTTAGAGATTTTGAAGTTGATGCCATTGTGGTAGATGAGAATGCAAGCTACAGTATTCTGATTTCTACAATTGCAGAACAACTATCGATTGATACTTCAGAAAAAATTGTAGAAATCAAATACATGGTGAACGACAATTGTCTCCTAATGGAGATTAGGAATGATATGGGGGTTCGTGTGTATATGGAGACCAAAAAGGAGAATAAAAACTTAGGTTCATATCCGTTATGTATAAGTGTACGAGATTTCAATATGGAATTGACAATCACCAACGATAACACAAGTGCAGGTTTGTATAGTTCGAAATTGCATAGAATTATGGTTTTACGGTATTATCTACAAAATTACTACATTTGCCTACAATTAAACTACAAATCAGTTTAATGAAAGAATAAAGCAATTTTGTTTTCAAAATTATCTACAAAGTTACTACATTTATACGACAAAATAAACTACAATCTATGATTAGAAATTGTTGATTTCAAAATGTTGTCTTTAAATAAATTATCTACAAAGATTCTACAAATTGNTTGAGCATGTAATTAACCCTAAATCTAAGAACAACACAAACAAAAGAGAAAGAATCTAATTAAGAAATTAGCATATCAGTAGTGAAGAGTAGGCGAGAATTTAAGTCGATGTAATGAGAGAAGAATGAGAGCAAATGGGATACACTATAGCGTTTTGAGCTCAGGGTTGTAAAAGTGTAAAAGGATGAGAAATGTTATATTTATACTATTGACCCCTTGGACCCACAGTTTGACATGAGTGCGGCCGCATAATTTTGATGCGGACCGTACTCCTTACCTGCCTGATGAGACAACTGGATGCCGACCGCACAAAAATGAGTGCAGCCGGAAAAAATACAGCCTACCCACACATATAACTACAAAACACTACAAGACATCTACAGATATAAACATTATCTACGAAAATGCAGGAAGAAAAAAGTAACTACAGCTCTGTTTCAAAATTTAAAAGCTAACGACAATATAACTACAAAACGACTACAAAATAACTACAATTATAAACTGTAGAAAATCAAAACTACAAATAATCTACAAAATTAAGACAGTTGTTTGCCGCCTGGTGTAGCACTTCCTCCAGCATCTACATCGTGCATTTGCTTTGTTCTCATCTCGGCACAGATTTTGCTTAGGAGATGAACTGTGAGTTAAGTGGTTTCCATTTGCATGTGTAGATTTTACTTGTTTTTTGTGGTTGATTTTTAGTGTTAAACCCCAAATGAAAGAGGGGATATCACCTACTGTAGATTTTTTAGGTATTTTTTGGAGATTTGATGTTCTTCATGGTTTAACTTCAACTTGACTAAGATGGGAACGAATTTTTGTAGAATGATAACTTCAATATTTGGGAATTTAAATGGAGAATAATGAAGAACGTGGGTAGCTTTTGTTCTGTAAAGAAAGAAAACAGACGCTAATGTGGGGGAGTGAAGGGTAAACGTAAAACGTGTGTGTGTGGGGGGGGGGGGGGAGTTACGGAGAGAGAAAGTGAGGATTAGTACTTAAAAAAAACGGAAATGCTTTAATTAAGGAGTAGAAAATATCACATTAATTATAACCTTAAGTAGATATGGTATAGAAATGGTAATTTGGTATACTAAATGTAATTTACTCAAACCTTAAACATGTAGGGTAAAAAGGTTTCCTAAGTGGGATAGGAATGTAAAAATTCCAATTTAAAAATAGCCAGATTTATAAGTGGTCGTTTAAAAATAGCCCAATTTTAAAAGTAATTGAAATTTAGCCACTTTTTATGTAAAGATAAATCTGAGCGAAAACACTGTTCAAAATCCGGAAAATACGCCAGTATATTATGCTGGAGTTCCAGCATAAGTATACTTGAACTCGAGCATATTATACTGGAGTTCCAGGATAAGTATGCTGGAACTCCAGCATAATATGATGGAGTTCCAGCATAAGTACACTAGAACTCCAGCATAATATACTGGAGTTCCAGCAAAGTATACCGGTCCAGTATAATATGCTGGAAGTGCATACACAAGTGCTCGAATCTCCAGTATATTATGCTGGAACTTTCCGTGTTGGAGTTCTAGCATAATATGCTGGAAGTTCATACACAGGTGCACCGAACTCCAGTATATTATGCTGGACCAGTCTCTGTTGCAGCAAAATAATGGCTATTTTTTTTATTGACTTAGTAAACGCTGACTATTTTTGAATAACCAGTGCGAAAACTGGCTAGACCGTGCTATTTTTACTAAAAGATAAGTAGCAAAAGCCCACACGTGTAGGTGTAGCCCAAATTTGACAACTTTTAACTCACCGTTTCATTCAACACTTGTTCTCTCATACCTCTGCTCGCATCCTTCCCCTCCCTCCATTGCTATTTTCTACTGGGTCTTCAGAATCCGTATGCGAGAGGATCTAAAAGCTTAGTCATTTAACTTCTCCAGGAAAAATCCTCAAGCTATATATAAAATACGCTTGCTTGGCACTTCATGTGTTATCTCTGAAAAATCCCATCGTTTCTGGATTCCGCTCTTCTTCTAACCTCTTCTTTCTTGCTGAAATTGACAGATCAACAAATTGTGTGGTTGGCTTCGTTCTTCTCCACATCTGAATTGGTTAGTTTCCACTTCGTTCTTTTCCAGCTTCTAGGGTTCGTGAATCAATTTTCTCTTTTAGGTTTCAAGGTAGCTTTACCGTTGGAAATTTGTCAATAATTTACTCCCACTCTTTATGCTTTTAGCTTTGAAAGATAAATCTGTTTTACCTCTGATTTTTTATGAAATACTTCGTTGTTGGTAGCTTTGAAACACAATTCTGTTTTATCTCTTATTTTTATGGAAGATTTGATTTTTTTCAGATGGGAATCTGTTGGGATTTTAGTTGTAGAAGTTGAATTTTCAATTCATTCTCTGATTGCTTAAGGAGGCGGACTAAGTAATTTATTGGATTGAGGGACTTCACTTATTTCTAGCAGCTTCTCTAATTTGGCTCTTTGGAGAACCTTAATACACTAGATTATGTCTTTAGTTAGTGTTATTTGATGGTTGACGCTGCAAAAGAAAGTTCTTACATAGTTATCAGTATGTTAATTGCTCTTCTCCGTTTTCCTGGAAACCTATTTGGCACCGGAGAAGGAGAAAAGTATTTGAATCCTTGAACCTCAGAGTATCTATTGATTCTCTATATTCAATTAAATATGACGTGGGGAACTTTGTTTGTTAGCTTAGTAGGGAGTAAGAAAAGGTAAGAGAATCTAAATCCCATTAATGTTGTAACTCAACAACAATAACAATAATAACAAACTCAGTATACTGCCACAAGTGGGGTCTGGGGAGGGTAGCGTGTATGCAGACCTTAATCCTGTAACTCGAGTGGAAATATTTGAGCTCATGTACTCATTTAATTCTGACCGTCCTCCAACCACTCATACCCATGGAAACGGTTGTTCTTTTTGTTTGTGTTTTGTTGACTGGAATTTCTCGAATGCTGCTTTTCCATAGAACTAAGTTTTTTTTTTTAATTCAATTTTACCATTCGATTTGACCCACTTAAATTTTTTAGAGGAACCTCAACTAAAGATTTATAATTTGCATATATAGCAAGCTGATACAAAGACAAGAGAGCAAAATAAATGGGTGAGAATAGAACCTCCAGTTAATAGAGTGGAGAACAATGGAATCGGGTTCACAAGCAATTTTGTGACCAACTTCTTCCATTTCAACACAGTAGTATAGAAGCACTTGCTTCTTCTTCTTTACTGTTTCCTTGTCCATCTAAACACAGTAGCTGTTTGAGAGAGAGTGTGTGTGTGTGCTGACAAAAGTGCAGGAGAGTGTTGTAGTGTGCCTGTTGTTTATGGATTTTTTACTAAGGTTTTCGTCACCAACAATTTGGTGTTTAAGTCACTATACAAGATGCAGAAAGATCATCAACCAAATGTGCCAAATAAAAGCTGCATGATGCTTAATTCACTTACATTTCTGTTAATGTGGATAGCATGTTGGTTTCAGTGGTTTGCTACTTTGCATATAACTCTCTTGTCTTTTACTCTGTCATTTACTCTGTTCAGAATTTGATTGCTTGGGTGGCTTTGATAGAAATATATGCTTTATGATATTCAACTGAGTTCGAGGTTATGCATATTGCTTACTTGTGTGTTAGGATTTTAAGACTTCAATTTTTTTAAGAGTTAAGTGGATTTTTTTAAGGGGATATTCTATGGAGTTGTGGTGTCTCCAAACAGCTGAGTTTGTTTAAATTGGGTAATTCATATATTGGTTTGTTTCTTTTTCTACTATAGTTTTCTGTTGATTGTGTTTTGGGATTTCGTTATATGGTTTGAATATGTTAGTTTTATCACAACAGTGAAAGATATCAACTGAGCTCAAAAGGGCATAGAAAAAGATCCTTTCTTTTTGGTATTATGTAAGGCTTATAGAATTGACGCTGTGGGTGCACAACATTAATCATTGTTCTATCTCAGCATTTGTTCCAGTTACTAATAAGTTTCATGTTTCCCTGCTTAAAACATAGTCATACTAATACGCTACCAAAACTAAATAGGAGAATTCAATTTCTGCACGGCGAAATTCCAAGTTGGTCATTTTTTTTAATTTGATTTTCTTTTGGTACTTTTATCTCAGTCATAGCAGTAGTTTCTTAGAGCCTTGCTTTAACTTTCAAGGCCATTCAATCCTTTGAGTATAAGATTATGTCAATACAAGTTTAACAGTAATGCTCCTTTATTTCTGTTTCGCTCTGAGATAAGAATGTGCACAGTTCAAGAAAAGCCTGATAGCTCTAACACGCGCAGGGAAATTAAGAAAACCAAAGTTGTTCAGTAGAGAGAAATTTCAGGCAATTCTATGATGTATCGGAACAAAGAAGTTGATAATCTCTTGTGCATAGTTAAAGTTTAGATTCGGTGATAATGACATTAAACATTACGCTTTTGCAGAACACTTTAAATCACATATCTTCTCAAATAATTGATTTAGAAGAAAGATAAAAGACCTATAGTATATTTCATTGTAGCTAAAATTAAAAAAACTTGCCAAGCTCTTTGCAATTTGAATTATGTGTTAAGCTAACAATACCTCCTAATAGATTTTAAGGTTGTCACATTTTGGTACAATTTATATGTTCTTTAGCAAGAACAGTAACAGAAATGTTAGGTGTAGTTGCTGCTTCTGCTATTCGTTTTGATAATTTCGACGAAAATAAAACTGATCATGAATTTGCCATCTAGCCATTGGGCCCGGGCTTAGCCCCGGCATAACCTCACTAGTAGGTGCATAAAACAGTAACTATTGGATTTTTTAAGTGCAAGGATAATAGGATACTAGGTTTTTGTCTGTTTAAAATGACTTGTGGTTTTTATCGTAACAATAATTATTGTCAGTCCAATTACAACTGCAATTTCCTTTGCGCATTCGGCCATCTGGAATTAGTTATATGTCACATAGGCGATGGATAGGATAGCCGTTTGTGTGATTAGATCATCCAAATAGATTTTTCGAAACAGAATTTTCCGCTAGCTGTTGTGGGAATGGGTATTTGACATTGTATTATGGTTTGAACAAGGCTAGTAGAAAGTACACACAGTTCCCTAGTGATAGAACCACATCCTGTAGATCAATCTGCTTATGATTTCATTGAATCATTGTTTATCTGTAGATAGATTGGGAATTAGCATCATCTCAGTTCTTTGGCAGCACCGTTTACCCTGTGGCTTAGCTATCCTGTAAAAATAGATTTTGTTTATGGGCAAGAGACTGATTGACAGTTGCAGAAATTTCTTGTTGAGTATAATAGTAGAGCTTTCATACCAGTGAAATTTGGGATTTGCCTTTTTTCCTTCTTAGCCAACACCAAAAACCCCATTATTCAACTTGGTCAAAGCCAAAAATTTGATGCTCTATTTTTGGATTAGGGAGAAACCGACAGTGGTGCTTGAAAGAGGAAAATACTTTGCTTTTCATACTCTTCAGAAGTTTTCATGACACAGTCGAAATTATGAATTTTATCCATTCACCTTTTATAGTGTCTTCTTTGGCCCATTCTCTTTTTCTTCATTAAAAGGCTTTACAGGCCGTAAACATACAGCCATGAGTAATGTGAAAAAGCCCTCTTACTTCACATTGTTATGATGAAAGCTTAAATGAGTTCTTATATGTAAGAATCTAGTTGACTCAGAAAAGGTTGGTTATATTTTGTTGTTTCACCTTTGGGGTAAAGAATGGTCTCTCTACCTTCTCAGGGTAGGGGTAAGGTCTGCGTACACACTACCCTCCCCATACCCCACCTGTGGGATTACACTGGGTTTTTTGTTGTTGTTGTACTTTTGGTGTAAAGAGAAGTATGCAGATGAAGCTGAATCACTTATAGAAGTCATAGAATCCCTTTAAGCTGAGCAGGATATAGTTTTTCGAAATTTTGCATCTTTGGTAACTTGTAAATATGGTTTCCAGCACTTTGTGCTGCTGGTTAATTTATTGTTACCTATTCCAAATAAAAGAAGGTTGGTTGTATCACATGAATTAGTCCGGAAGGGAAATTTTATTGCTACTGAATTGTAGGTCTATTTTCAGGGAAAATGAAGAAAGGAATTCACCCTCAAATGCAGTGGATATCCTATGTGACGCAAAGTGGACGATTGATGCATGTTATGATGACCAAAATACACCAAACAGGCAAGGTTTATCACATTAGAGCAAGGCGTCAAATGGCTCAAAGTATTGGTCAGATTGCAAAGTTTAAGCGCCGGTATGGTGAGAAGGAGGAGGAGGAGGTGGAAAAAGCAGAGAAATGAAGGTTTAAGTTGGAAGAAGAGTGAATTACCAGTCTTTTGTGAATGAATTCATCCTTACCTTTTTCCTTTTCATTTCATCTTAACTTTTCTGTATAAGGAATGAATACTAGTCTTCTTGTATGCTTCACCCCTTTGAATGTTGGTTAAACAATAGTGAAGAATCATTCTTCGTTCTGTGCAACACAAATTCAGTGATGCTTTCTGTGGGCGATTATTATTGCTCCAATCCTACTGTCAGTGTCTCCTTATTTGGAAGTATTTTATGAGGTTAAATAAACATTAGCGTCTTTATTTTTTTATTTGAAAATGTTGATGCTTACTGTTCACCCGTGTTAGATGACCAAATTCTCATAGTTTTGGTGTACTTTTTTCTTCAGTAAGTTAAAGGACAAAGCTGTTATAGTGTTTTAGTCACATGTTTTATTGTTAAAAAGGTGTACACTATAATATGATTGTTGCTCAAAATTGAACACCATTCTTGTTTACCTGTTGTGAACAGTTTTATGAGATCTTCCTTACAATTGTTAGTTTCTTATCAGCATTTTTATTTTGGGGAATAGAAAGAGTTTTTTTTTTTTTTTTTTTTGGATCAAGAGGAAATATTTGTATTAATATAGCTTTGAGCTCTTAAGAACTTTCTATTTGCTTCTACCCTTAGCTAGTTAGTCAGCTGCATGGTTAGCTTCTCTGTATGTGTGCTTCAGAGTCGGATTACCAGCCTGAGCAGGAGTAACATGCAGTTATCAATGAGGCGAGGAAAATGAACATTACCTATTTGAAGTGCAGTAACTACTAACTACTATATTTGAGCGTATGTTGATTTCAAGTGGTTGTAGTTTCTTTCGAATTGCTATCTCTGATAGCATCTGTAGAGCTGTTTGTTCTGCAAATATGTTAATTGTGAAAGGAAGTATCATATAGTAGCCTAAACTCCAGTCACCTTAGTGATTTCTCCTATTCCTCCTATCCCGGGTTACTGATTACCAAATGGGGATGCCTTTTGTAATTAATTTGTTGTTTATCTTTGATAGTTTAATTTGTATATTCCCTTCTTTTTCCTGTAAGCATTATGTATTCGGTAGCTTTTACAATGACTGAGTTGGTATTTGCAAGATCCTTTTTATTATTGAAGTGGTTTTTGATCCAAGAGTCAGAAAGGGAAATGTTCACTCCAGGGGAAATGTTGACTTTACTAGTTATTATTAGAAGTACAATTCTTTTAATCCAGTTCTGATTGGAAGACGGAGGGTCATAATTTGATGTAATTTGTCTGTCCAGGTTTGCCCAATCTTTTTTTTTTTAACACACTGCACTGTGTAAAAGTATGCGCTATGATCCCTTGCTCATTATGGCATATTTGGCTTTCTTCCTATATTATGAAGCCACTTACAGAGAAGCTAACCATGGCATATTTGGCTTTCTTCCTATATTATGAAGAAATTCTTGACCCTCCCCCTCTGAATTAGAGAGTAAAATTATACTCCAATTACAATTAATTCACAATTGATCAAGCATTTACTTGGTCTGGTAAATTGTGTAACTACTTGCAAAGTTGCAATCAGGCCTTTAATTACTAAGGTGGTTACTGGTTATGCCCGGTTATATTAAGAAAATGAGTTTTCTGCCCTTTTAAGTTTGTTGTTGATTCGCTCCTTAGTATTGAAAGCCCTTTTTGGCTTTTGAATGTAGCATTGGGAAGCAGTGAAAAGAGCAAGGACTAGTCAGTTTTCGGACTGGTAACTAAAAAATAGTCAGCGTTTGCAAAGTTATTGAAAATAGCTCCTACTTCACTTAAATACGAAACGCTCCATGCTGGATTATGGAGCTCATGCGTATGAACTTCGAACATATTATGTTGGAATTCCAGCACATTATGAAATTCAAGCACATTCTCATATGTGAAAAATTCGAACTACAACATATTATGCTGGAATTTTTTCCAGATTTTTAAGGGTGTTTTGTTCTGAAAAAGTGGCTAAATTTCATTACTTTTGAAATTGTGGCTATATTTCAATTACCAGTCGTAAATCTGGCTATGTCTGATTTTTTTGCGAAGCCAAGGACTTTCCTAGTTTATAAGTAGCTTTGATTCAACTCTGAATATAAGTATTAAATATAGAGATAAATAAACTCGACTCTTATACGACGTTACTTATCACTTTTGCAAGTTGTAGTTGCCTTTCTGTATCTCCATCATGAAAAGAAAATATTACAAATGAAAAGCACAATCAGTAATCACTTATCTATAAAATACGAGATTAATGAGCACGGGATCAGAACAGGAAATCGATGGTGGCATTGAGGCAACGAGGAGATAATATCTCAAATACAATATAAGATGTATTTTGCTAGCTTTTTGTGATCTTCACAAACTACCAGAATGAACTATGGGCTTAAACGTGCAACTTTAGCAAAGCTCAAGATCACCTATATGAAAATCTTTTCCCTGACGAAGTCATGTGGGCATTCCTTAACCTGGGGACAAATGGACAAAATCTCAAATACAAATGTAATAAAAAGAGAAATGCCCGATATTACAGAAAGAAACACAATGAACAAGAGGATGGACAATAAATTCCCAAATATCTTCATTTTATTCGGCAACATAACTCTATGAACTGTTTGCATCCAAGTTTGAGGGGTAACAAGGCATGAGTAAGATGTCTAATAGATAGGACAAACCTCCTACTCGTATTCCTAGCAGAGAAGGCGAGTGCAATAATCTCCTTATTCATCAGCATTATGCTTGTCCATCTTCATTTTCATTATCAGAGGGTTGCTCTTTCATCTTACCCTTCCCATTTTCCACAGGTTCTTTCAGCTTTGCTTTTTTGTTACATTCCTTTTAGAGTTCCTTTGTCTGAATACTGCAAAAAGAAAGAAGAAAACATAAAGGCAAAGATAGCTGTAAGTTCATTCCCAGTAAACAATCTTTGATATCATACTGCCTCACTTGCAATCAGATAACTAAGCCCATTTAAAGCAATAATATCACACATGTATCGAGACTGCACAGAGTTCTCTCAATTTCATCATTCAAGGATGTACAATGCATGATGAGCAAATGATACTTGTCTGACTGTCTCAAGCTTATCACAAGAGGAATCTCAAATTAGGACACCAATTAGAATCAAAGATGATACCAGACAGGGTAGAATTACAAATATTGATGATTCATTATAGTTTAAAGTGGAGATTCAATGAGGTAATGATTACATATTCCATAAAGGGAGTAAAAGAGGTTCGATTGTGTGAAATATCAGATAAATTGCAGAATTGATGAGAAGAATATCTACACACATGACAGAAAATGGAAAATAGTTCTCCTTCTAATTCATATGAAAATATATTTAAATACTTGGGTATAATAAGTTGGGACATATTGGTTCTAATATTCACCACACGTAAACAAACACCGAAAATTCCTTGCTTCGCGACTGATTGAAGACCATTGAAGACCAAAGAAAGTGAAACTGACGCAGCTTATGCTTATAAATCAGAAGTTATTATTCAATACTCTGTTCTCATGCTCGAAATCCCTCTCCGTGCAGGACATCACATTTCCAACTCTCAACCACTGTATGGCATTTCCAACTCTCAACCACTGTATGGTTTAGCTAAGACGTTGATAACATTAGATTTAGCTGGATTTGCATATTCACTATGTAGCCATTAGTCATTTACCGATATCTTTTAACATGGTAAAGATTGCCTAAGGAATAAAGCTTTAGGAATCACCACAGCGCACTGTCAGTGACCAAATATTAGAAGCCCTATAAATTAGCCTCGGCGCATGAAATATAATGAAACGGCTAATCTACCCGTGTGATGCAAATAACCTTTTACGAGATGCACCTAAAATGGAATTATACATCAATCTCCACAATTTAAAAACAAGATAGCCAGAAATATTTCAGCGGGGATTATGATGTTTGATTTTGGAGTAACGTCCATGTCCCATTCTTGAACGTGTACCGTGTTCTAAGAATAACATGATAATTGCTATGTCGCAAAAACAACAATGGCCATTCTCCTTCACATAAAAGATTTATTTATAAAACTAGAGAGCAAAGATCATTGACACAGCGCTAGAAACTGCTAACCCACCAGAGCTAAACATTGGAGTACCAACAATACCCAAACTAACACCAAATACAAACAGAAGTTACTGACACACACATTGACAATAAACAAAGAAAGGTGACCGACTGCAAAAAGGATAATGTAAGCAACCCTAACAACACTTTCACTAAGGACCGGAAATTCCAATCCAAGAGCCAAACAACACCTGATTAAACAAGAATTCAAGCTAAGAGCGGAGTAGTTCAGAACTGCAGAGCTGTAGCTCAAAACTGCAACATATCAGCAGACGCAGTGATAGGTTGAATTGGGCAAGGAAGCTGCCAGGGCTCAAGCAAAGTGTCTGGAATTTCAGGGATATCCACAGCTAGTCCATTAGCATCAGCCCAGAAACGAGTGAGCGAATTGAGAGAATCCAAGCGTTCAGTCAGTTCTGCCATTTGAGCCCTCAAGACATTGTTCTCCGCATTGAGGGTCAGGTAGTTTCTTCCCACAGCATCAATCTTCTCGCGCCACAGAACGTTCTGATTCTGTAGCTGTGTCATTTGGCTCATCAACTCCTCCAAATGCTGCTGCTTCCTCATCCGTGACCGCCTTGCAGATTCACGGTTGGACTCCATTCTCTTCCGTTTTCTATCGTCATTCGTGGCATAACGTTGGCCATCAGAACCTGAACTAGCTGGTTGCTGTGTCGAAGCCATGTCTTGTGTATCGTTCCAATCAGAGGCTAATCAGACAACTATTGAAATTCAAAAAAGGGGGAGGTCACTACTGCTTTCTTGCTAGGTTTTGCGAGTTAGGGTTTTCTAATTATGGAATTTCTATAACAAACTGGACAGGAAAACAAGGTGTGAGGGGGGCTAGTTCATGAAAACACGTAGAACCAGTACAGGAAGACTACGGAGAAAGAGTGCATAATACGAATTCGACGCATGAGGGTCATGAAGAATTGGAAGCTAACATATAAACTATTTGTGAAACCCTAATTCAATGGGTTAATGAAGAATCCAAAGTATGTGTAGATCCAAATCCAAACAGTATCTGCAGCAATTAAACGCAAATCAATCTGCAAGCCAAAAACAGAGCAGCAAAATATTAGCAAATCGCCAAAAATAGACAAATTTAACAATAACTGAAGCATAATATTTAAACAATCAACCCGATGCAATCCCAATACCCTTCTCGATCTATTCGGGTCTAAAAGAATTTACCACATTCAAAATTAGGCTGATTCTACAACAAAAACATTGAAGCCACCGAAATTTATAATTTTAAGAAACACATATGCCGCAAATATGAAGAACAAATAAGAGAAACAGCAGCAAAAATGATATACAAACAAATTAAAAAACAGACGAAATGAAAACACAAGCAAAAAGGAAAACAGAGAAAATGAAATAAAAAGAAAACAATAAAATGGAAGGATAAAGGAGAAAGAGGAAATAATTGAGACGTACCAATAGGTGTGAAACCGAAAGTGGGCGAAAGAAGGTCTAACAAGGTTGTGGAGAGGGGCTTTATATAGGGGAGAGGAGGTAGGTTTTTTGGTAAATATAAGCATTTTTATTACGTAGTGGTTGGTGTGTAAATTGAAAAAGTAGTGATGACAGCTAAGCAAAAAGAAAGATTATTGGTATATCCGTAAGCGACGCTGGAATCTTCCCTTCCTGTGGGCGATGCTTTCCAAAAAGTGAAAAAATATATTTTGTAATAAGTGAAAAAAACTTTCCAGTGACTTTTGATTAAAAAAATTCTGAACTAGTTCGAAAATGTTTTTAATTGTTCATGAAAGCTATATTTTTCAAACTTAGAGAGTATTTGGGTACGTTTATAAGGTGTATTATAAACATATTTTAGCTTATTTATGCATCTAGCAAACACATAATGTGCTTATCCATCGAGTATTTATAAGCCAAAATCATTTAAAAGTAAGTTCACCACCTTCAACTTATGATTTTTCAGTTTATAAGTGCTTTTAGAGCCTCTTTGGCTAAGCTTCTGTAACGACCCGGCCGGTCGTTTTGAGAGTTATAGCCTTGATCCCCTATTTACTATTTTTTTCGTGTCTTTTTCTGCTTATGTGACTTGCCGGGAGGTTTTGTTTTTGGTTTTGGAGTATTTTGGGACACTTAGTCCCTAAATGGAAGCTTAAGCCATATGATTTTGACCGTAGTCGAAACTGTGTGAAGACGACCCTGGAATGAAGTTTCGTCGGTTCTGTTAGCTCCGTTGGGTGATTTTGGACTGAAGAGCATGTCCGGACTGTGAATTGGAGGTCTGTAGCTGATTAAGGCTGAAAATGGCGAAAGTTGAATTTTTGGAGATTTTGACCAGAAGTGAACTTTTTGATATCGGGGTAGGATTTCGATTCCGGATGTTGGAGTAGGTCTGTAATGTTGAATATGACTTGAGTGCAAAATTTGAGTCAATTGGACGCGGTTTGGTAGGTTTCGGCATCAGTTGTAGAAGTTTCGAGTTTCAAGTTCTTTAAGTTTAAATTGAAGAGTGATTCGTGTTTTTACCATTGTTAGATGTGATTTTAGGGCTCGACTAAGTTTGTATGGTGTTTCAGGACAGGTTAGTGTGTTTGGTTGAGGTCCCGGGGGCCTCGGGCGTGTTTCGGATACTTAATGGATTGAATTTGGACTTAGGCTAGTTGCTGAAGATTTTCTGGTTTCTGGTGTTTCGCACCTGCGGAGGTGAGACCGCAGGTGCGGACTCGCACGTGCAGAAGGAGGAGCGCAGGTGCGGACTCGCACGTGCGGAAGGAGGAGCGCAGATGCGGATTTGGACAGCCCAAGCTGGGTTCGCAGGTGCAGATGTGTTTGTGCAGAAGCGGACTCGCTTCTGTGGTGGGACTGTGCGCAGGAGCGGTGAGGGTCGCAGGTGCGGCTCCTTAGTCGCAGAGCGGAGGCGCATGTGTGGCGCTTCTCTCGCAGATGCGGACCCAGGGGACTTAAGTTAAGTCCGCACCTGCAATGGAATTTCAGCAGATGCGATCATAGGCCCGCATATGCGAAATCGCTGGGCAGAAAAAGGGCCAAGTCGAGGGTTTTATCCTATTTTCAATTTTGGGACTTGAGAGCTCGGATCAAGGCGACAATTCAAGGATTTTTCAGAGAGAACTTTGGGGTAATGATTCTTAACTCATTTTTGGTTGTATTCCATTAATCTACGGTCGATTTCATCATTAAATTAAGGAATTTAGGTGAAAATTTTGTGGGAAAAGGTTGGAAGTTCTTCAACTAAGTTTTTGAGATATGATTGGGATTTTGATATCAGATTTGGATAATTTTGGTACAAATGAACTCGTGAGCAAATGGATGTTCATATTTTGTGACTTTTATCCGATTTCGAGACGTGAGTCCGGGAAGGCTTTTTAGGGCAATTTTTGAATTTCTTATTGAAGTTTCAATTTTATTAATTAGATTAGTTTATTATAGTCGTATTTATGATATGAAATTGTGTTTGGCTAGATTTGGGCCATTCGGAGTCGGATAATCAAGGAAAAGACATTCTTTTTTATTTGAGCTTGGTTCAAGGTAAGTGTCTTGCCTAACCTTGTGTGGGGGGAAATTCCCTTAGGATTTGGTACTGTTGTGATATGTGAGCGCCGTGTACGTGAGGTGACGAGTATGTGCACGGGCTATTTGTTGTAAAACCCAATTTTTATTGAGTAGTAACCTGCTTTCGTCTTAATTGAGTTATACCCACACGTGTAGTTATCCTGCTTAGTCTAATATCACATGTCTACGTGCTTTAACTACTTATTTGAACTCTGTGCAGCATGCTTAGATGATTTCCTATTATTAGTTGGTCCTTATCAATCGTAGTTGTAGAATTGTTGTTGTTAACTATTGTATTTATCGGTTTGAGTTGTGTGTTTACTTTTGAGACTACGAGGCGGTTCCTTGGGTGTTATCCCTGCACATTTACTTTTGAGACTACGAGGCGGTTCCTCGGGCGTTCTACCTGTATATTTACTTTTGAGGCTACGAGGCGGTACCTCGGGAGTTCTCTTTGCATATTTACTTTGGGACGACGAGACGACATCTTAGGAGATCCCCCGCTGTTTATCCCTCTTTATTGTATTGCTATTTTGTTATGTTTCCCTTGTTAAATTCCAGTGTCTTTATTTTATACTGTACATTCTCCTGATTTAATTATTATATACCAGTGGGCCTGGCCTGACCTCGTCACTACCTGACCGAGGTTAGGCTTGGCACTTACTGGGTACCGTCGTGGTGTACTCATGCTACACTTCTGCATATTTTTTGTGTGCAGATCCAGGGGCTTCTTACCAGCCTCGTCATCACTGAGCAATGACAGTTGGAGACTTCAAGGTATATCTGTCGCGTCCGCAGACCTCGAATTCCCCCTCTATTCTCCCCTATGTCCATTATCTTTCGTGTTTCTTTTGTTAGACTCTAGTGTTGTCACGACCCAATTTCCCCTCCGTTGGGTATAGTGATGACACCTTGTCTTAGGGACTAGGTAAGCCTAACATTAATTGAAATAACAACAATATATAACTAACATCTAACTATTTCTAATTTGAAGTCTTTATACAAAGTTATCCCAAAACCGGTAATACAAGTCAAAAGCTCAACACAGTTTGCTACAACATCTAAATACAATTTTTTAGAAGTAAAAACAGTGTGAATACAAAATAGGAAGGTGACTCTGAAGCCTGCGAACGCAACAATAGGTTTACCTTGAGTCTCCGTAGCAACAATCCGCGCTGCTAGCTAATGATCAACGGACTTCGCAATACCTGGATCTGCACAAAATATGTAGAAGTATAGTAGGAGTATATCACAACGGTACCCAGCAAGTATCAAGACTAACCTCGGTGGAGTAGTGGCGAGGGACAGTCAAGACACCTACTAGACTAAATAACCTGAACAAGTATAAGTATAGAAACAACAGAGTATGATATCTACATAAGGACTACGCGATATGGCTAATAATACAGTAATTGCAATAAGAAAGGAAACAACAAGTATCAGTGAAATACCATAATAATGACACAGAAGAGTGAACGAAAACACAACCTAAATACGAAATCACAGATACAGCAAGGACAAGTAATAACTCAGCAACTACGACGGCTTTCATATCAGGTTTTAGTCAACAAACTCCACGAGGTACCGAACCTCAGACAAATCATAACTCACGAGTCTCAGTACCTGAACCCTAACACTTAGCATCCTGTGCCCTCATTACACCTCATAACCGCACTGACGACTCACATGCCAAGTAGAGTCATTCTCACATAGAAGGCAAGTAAACAAGGGTGTGCATATATACTCAACACTATGAAGAAAACCTCTTATCCGATAAGAGTGCTTAACTACGTGTATGTTTGTTGCAAATGTCCTAACACAGTTCATACTAGCTAGTAAGCGTAAGGAAAAGAACGAACAACACGTAAAATATTTTCTCACAACTTTCACAAGATAAAGCTCACACAGGTAAGAGTACCACCACACAAATATCAACAACAAGAATGCCCCCAGGCCATCACAAATCAATCCCTGACATAGCCCACCTTATCTCGCCCCATGTACAATAGTAAAGTAAATGCCCGCCTGGTCTCGCCACACGTGCATAATAATGTTTCCACCATGTCTCGCCACATGCGCAACCCACATATACATATATCCCGCATTATCACGTCGCATGTGCAAATATCAATAGTAACAACAGCACGGCAGAAAGCTCATGCAACCCCATAACAACAACCGCATGGCAGAAACCACGTGCATCACAATATCAACAACCGCACAGCAAAAACTTCGTGCATCACCACAACAAGTACAACAACAATGACAATAATACAATGTACCATAATTAAATCAACTCAAGAACCTTCGATCACAAGAAATGGTAGAACTAAATCACAAGGAATAACCATAATAAAGAATATTAGGCGTAATAAGAACATCTCGACGGGAAAGGAAACAATATGTACAACGGTCCCATAATATACAGTTCAACAACAAGGAAACTGACACGAGTCAAATA